CAACCTTGATAGCATCAAGCTGCTTAGTCCTCAAGCTAAACTGACATGAAGCTTGAGGACTAAGGTGCGCCTGACCCAAGCCATGGTATTTTCAATAACCTCATATGCATGAGAAAGCTGGACAGTGAATAAGGAAGATTGTAGAAGATTTAATGCTTTTGAGTTATGGTGTTGGAGGAGAATACTAAAAGTGCCATGGGCTGCCAAAAGAACCAATAGATTTTTGTTGGAAGAAGTGCAGCCAGAGTGCTCCTTGGAGGCCAGGGTGGCCAAACTTCGTCTCTCATACTTTGGACATATTGTCAGAAGGGTCCAGTCACTGGAGAATGATATCATGTTTGGTAAGGTGGAGGGTCAAAGGAAAAGAGGAAGACCCCCCAATGAAATGGATTGGCCAAGTGGCAGCATCAGTGGCCTCAAGCGTGGCAACAGTAGTGAGGTTGGCCCAGGATCTGGCAGTGTTTCGTTCTGCTGTGCATAAAGTCACTGTAAGTTGGTACCAACTCGATGGCAACTAACAACAACAACCAACAACTGAATATGGAATATAGACAATGAGCCAGTCGTTTAATATATATTATTTTGAACCATCAGCACCATCCTACACAGTTGTTGTTGAGTGCCATCAAGTCGGTTCTGACTCATATTGACCCTGTATAGGGTTTCCAAGGAGTGACTGGTAAGCTTGAACCGCTGACCTCGTGGTTCAAACGGACTTGCAGTCCAGCACATTAACCAACATGATAGGTAAGAAAATGGAGGTGACACAACTTGCCCAAATGCCAACAGCTTTTAAGTGCGAGAGATAGGACTGAAACTTATTTGGCTGAGCTTTAAAGGATGTGTGTTCTTCCACTATGCAGAGCCACCACTCTCAAATTAGAGAATGGTTGAGCTCCTCATGAGAGCGCCCAAGTAAGTGCTCAATTTCAAGAGCCCCACTCCACCCCACAACCCAAAGATAAGTCAGACCCATCTACTAGGATGTTGGAATAGCATCCCAGGACCCTGGGGATGAAACGCTTTAGAAGAAAGACCCAAACACAGGACACAATTCAAGCAAGACAGTTCTCATATGGGCAGTTTCAGGACCCAAGTGTCTTTTCCTCCTCCCCTCCAAAATGCCAATTCGTTCACTGCAGGAGGTTGGTCCTGGATTTCAGGAACTCAAGTCCCAGAAATGATCTAGGTGGGCAGTTAGAAAACCACACTCCTCTGCGACCAATTAGCAACAGTCTAGACAGTGATGACTTACTGTCTTGTGTTCACCAGCTATTGCTAGGAGAGCTGATATATTCTAGCAGAAATGGAGGCACTAGACAGATGGCTGGAAATGCAACCACACACATATATTTTAAGTATGTAGATTTGAGCCAGAAATAAATGAGGAGTGTGACGGCTCCACGCAAGAGAGGAGCGTCTGTCTGAGCAGAAACAATCAACTTGCCAACAAAAAGCTACTTGAGTCAATGAATGAATCCCAGAAATGAACCCACTTGACTTGTTGGCAAGCGTTGTGGAGTTGATTCTGACTACGGTGGCCCATGTGTGCAGGGTAGAACTGCCCCATAGGGTTTGCAAGGCTGAGGAGACATTTCAGAAGCAGATCACCAAGGCTTTCTTTTGAGGTGCCCCAGGGTGGGTTCAATCTGCTAACCTTTCAGTGAGTAGTCCAACAGTCAACTATTTGCACCATCCAGGGATTCAGATGGGACCTGTGATCACATGGGGAACGAAAACCTAAATGCCAGGAGTTGTTGAGAATGGTTTTTGATGGGCTAGGCACTGTCTACACTCATTGCTTGCCAGGGAATGTTCTACGTATAAATCCAAGGTCACAGCAGCTCTCTGTGGTGGTGGTGGTTCTTGTGGCTAAAGGGCCACCAAGTTGATTTCAACTCAATATCCTTGTAGAGGGTTTCTGAGGCTGGAATTTTTACTGAAGCAGAAAGCTCCAGCTTTCTACTCTGTGATTGTTGTTGTTAAGTGCCATCAGATTGGTTCCACTCATAGTGGCCCTGGAGAGGGTTTCTGAGACTGTTAATCTTTACAGAAGCCTCATTCTTCTCTGTGGTGGTATTGTTGTTAAGGGCCATCGAGTCAGTTCCAACCCACAGCAACCCTGTATAGGGTTTCTGAAGAGCTTCTGGTGAGCTTAAACCATTGACCTTACAGTTCAAACGGCTTTGCAGTCTAGCACGTTAACCCACAGTGCCACACCAGGACTCCTCTCTGTGGTAGGTACTGCTATTATCCCCATTTTTCAGATGAAAAAACTGAGTCACCAAGGACGCTAAGTGACTTGCCTTTGTTATCAAGCCAATAAGGCTCAATTTAAAAGGTTATCATTGGAGGAAAAAATTGAAGTTGTCAAGGACTTCATTCTTCTTGGATCAACTATCAACACTCATGGAAGCAGCAGTCAAGAAATCAAATGACGTATTGCATTAGTCTTCCTTATTCACTGTCCAGCTTTCACATGCATATGAGGTTATTGAAAATACCATGGCTTGGGTCAGGTGCACCTTAGTCCTCAAGCTGACATCTTTGCTCTTCGACACTTTAAACAGGTGTTCAAAGTGTTGAAATGGCCAGCTTTGTGTTTGAAACTAACTTTGCAGTCAAGCACATCACTCCACAGTGCCACACCAGGACTCCATAGTGTGTGTTTTATTCATGTTTCTCTGTCATATGCTGGTCATTCTCACACTATCCACACTGAATAGAGCATGGTAGCATGGAAATAAACTTTTACAGGCACGGGGAAACCAGAAAATGTGTGTGAGCTGTTTAACTGCTCTGTCCGCATTGTTGCAGTGGGCTGGAACTAGATTCCACTAGCTCCACTCTGCTGGTTCAGCATCACTGTCTGTACAAATGATTCTGCGTGCCAACTCTCTCACCTCTAAAAAATGTGAGAACGTGAGAACTGCAAAGTGCCTTGCAGGGACTTTGCCTGTCTACCTGCATTGTAGGAGCTTTTACTCAACACTCCAGTTTATGGCTCCATATGATAAGCACTGGACTACAAACCACAAGGTCCACAGCTGGAGCCTGCCAGCCACTCAGTGAGAGAGAGATGAGTCTTTCTACTCCCTCTAAGATTTAAAGCCTCAGAAACCCTATACAGGGATGGAACCATCTGAGAGAAAAGGGGCTGGAGACGCAGACCCCTCTCAGCATTTCCGTCTTGTCCTTGCCCTGACCCCCCTTTGACAGAAGCCAAAACTAAGTCCCCAGGGCCCCTGTCTTGGCATTCTAGGATTGTCGCAACAAAAGACCACAAATTAGTCTGATTATAAAAGCGGACATGCCTTGTCTCACAGTTCTGGAGTCTGGGAGGCTGAGGTTAGGGTGACAGCAGGGCTGTGCTTACTCTCTGAAGGCTCAGGGGAGATTCCTTCCTGCCTCGCCCAGCTTCTGGGAGCTCTAGTCATTCTTGGGCTTGTAGTTGCAGCTCTGGTCACATGGTCACCTGCCCTCTGTATGTCTGCCTGGTCTTTTCTGACAATAGGACACCCATCTAGACTGAGCCCTGGTAGCATGTTGTTGTTGTTGTTGTTGTTAAGTGCTGTTGAGTCATGTCCAACTCAAAGAGACCCTCTATAGGGTTTCTGGGGAGTGGCTGGTGGGTTTGAACCACTAACCTTGCAATTCAAACTGACCTTTTGGTCCAGTGCATTATCCTGCAGCACCACACCAGGATTCCATGTTGTTGTTGTTGTTGTCGTCGTTAAGCGCCATCCAGTCAGTTCTGACTCATAGCATCCCTCTATAGGGTTTCTGAGGAGCAACTGGTGAGCTTGAACTGCTGACTCTGTGGCTGAAACCAACTTTGCAGTCAAGCACATCACCCCACAGCGTCACACCAGGACTCCATTGTTATGTGTTGTGGAGTCGGTTCTGACTCATAGCGACCCTTGTACAGGGTTTCCGAGGCTGTAAATATTTATGGGAGCAGAAAGCCTCATCTTTCTCCCATGGAACAGCTGGTAGTTTTGAACTGCTGACCTTGCGGTTCGCAGAGGACTCCATAGCAGGTTACAAATTGCTCTGCTATCTGTAAGGTCAGCTGTTTGAGCTTGCCAGATGCTCCTCGGGAGAAAGGTGATATTTTTATGCTCCCATAAACATTTATAACCTCAGAAATCCTACACTGGGTCGCTATGAGTTGGAACTGACCCCACAGCATGCCACCATCTCCACCATTCATATTAGGGCAGAACCCACCCCACCCTAGCTGCAAGATCAGTGGTTCAAACCCACCAGCCACTTTCAGAAACCCTCTGCAGGTTGCTATGAGTCAGAACCAACTCGATGGCACTTAACAACAATAACAAGAAAGCAGCTACCAGCAGCAACAGCTCCAATAAAGGTGAATGCACATTTTAATGCTTTTGATGAACTTATGGAGGCGCACTGTACTCCTTGGTCCTCAAAGAGAGGCAGCCAGAGAACCAGAGAGCCAGTGTGCTGAGAGCCTGGCATTTGGGAGATGAGGCTATTCTCAGTCCATCTTTCCACGCCAGCCTCCCTGGCCATGGGTGGCCCCAGACCACCCGACCATGAATCCTCCATCCAAACCAGATGACTCTGCATATTCCCTCCTTCCTACATGCCTCTGTCCATGACCAAGTTGCCGTTTCATCTCCTCCCCTAACCTGGAAGCAGTTGTTTAACTCCGGGAGGTAGAACAGCTTGAAACTGTCCATAGTTCTAAGAAAGGAGACCCGTGTTTTCCTGGAAAGAAAAGGTCTGGGGTTCCCAGAAGGCAGGGGTCACTGCTCTGCCCATGGGACAACCCCGCTGCACTCCTTGAGCCTCAGCCGCCTCATCTGGGAAGAAGGATAATTGTTTCCACCCTGACAACCTCCCATGGATGTAGCGCGTGTCTGTGATACCATATTGACAGGTGTTCTATCTGTGCAAACCAGGTGAACACACCCGTAGTTCCAGGTGCCTTTGTTTACCAACACACACTGGACCAGTGAGCCCCTCACCTGCTGTGGCCGTAGCTCTCGGGAACGTGGTACATGAAGACATTTCCTCGGGTTTGCTTTGCCCAGCGAGTGGCCATGTTGATCACGGGGCAGATGATGAAGTAGTCCCTGGAGAAAGAGGATGAGGAGGAAGTCTAGTTTCTTACAACTCTATGGACAGCTGAGCTGGCTGAAGGCCACCCCCAGACTTGGAGGCCCTTGGCCATCCAGCCCTGCAGAGAAGACCTTACAGCCTCACCCAGAACAGTTCTCCAAGGTCTCCACCACCTCACCTGGCCAGAGGTGGCTGGTTGGAGGACTTTTGTCCATTTTGGGGTAAGGCTGACCAGGAGTACCAACCAGTACTAACAGCAGAACACGTAGGGCCAAGAGGCTCATGGGACAAACATCTTCCCCAAACATCAGCCTGATTTATAGATTTGGAGGTAAAACAAATCTGAGAACAGATAAACTCGAGCTGAACCTAAGCTACACACACATTTCTAAAGCAGAGATTTCAGGGCTATTTCCTGCACACAGGGCCCCAGGCCAGCGAGTCTCTACTGGGGGTGAGTTTACCACTCTGCCACTGCCCATCTGCAGACATTTCTGATTCTCCCAGTTGAGGCCTGGAGGTGGGTGGGAGCAAAAGATGCAGCTAAGCATCCTACAATGTATAGGCCAGCCTCCCACAACAAATATCTGACTAGTCCCAAATGTAACTGGGCTGAAATGGGAAACATCTGCCTCAGACTCTGGAACTTCACATTCAGCCCACCACTGGGGTAATTTGAAAATGAAGTATCAGCATGCTGCACTGAGAACCTGTGTCTCATACGTCAAGGGAGCGTGCTTTCAGGAGCAGCAGGTCTGGACTGGAACAGCCGGGCTTGGTAGACCTCAGCCAGCCAGGTTTCCAATTCCACCTGCATTGCTGAGCCAAGGTCCCAGAAACCCACAGTTGGGGTTCCCCAGGGTGGCCCCATTCCCAGAGGCTCCTAGGAGGAGAGAACTGGAACCCTGGTCTCATCAAAAATGATGTGCTGTGTACACAGAGAACACAGGGCTCTTGGCCCAGCGGCCTTAGGGAATGCAGGGAGGCACAGGGGTCCAGACACCTGCATGTGAGATCAGAAGAGGAAGGAGGGATGGTCCGGCCACATCAGGTCTTGGGGAGCAGACTTTTACCCCTCCTGGAGGGCCCTGAGTCAGAGAAGCTAGAACCACAAAGAAATGGGAACCTCATGTGTCCAATCTCAAGAAACAGCTCCCAGGACTAGGAGCCTGGGTGTGTACCTGTCCGGGTCTCAGTTTATCCACATGCAAAGTGACCCCTGGCTGCCCCAGAAAGCTCTACAGTAGTGCTCCTGCTGTGGGAACTGGGCATCTATCACACTATTAAAGCCCCCAGGGGGGCTCGGGTGCAGCTGGGTTGAGATCAGAGGTAGGATGAGAGTGAGGGGAGGGTCCTTGTTTCTTGCTGTCCAGTGGATTCCAATGCAAGGTGCCCACAAGTGTGAGGCCCTCAATTCTTGTAGCCTCTGTTGAGCTTTCTCATACAGGGTGCACAGTGGGCATGCACACTGTCTCTACCCTCCTGGGCAGCAGCGTCCACCCCACCCGTCCACTATACTTTGTAGAGGGAACAAATGATGACCAGGAAAGCCACCTCACAGAGCCTCACAGTAGTATCTCGCCCCTCTGCAGTGACCCTCTGCTGGCTCACCGGGTGGCATTCTCCAGAGCCCGGGAGAAGGAGGCATACTCGTCTGCAGAATGTTCCAGGGAGTAGTACCACGTGGCAGCAGCCTGCACACCAGCATCCAAGGCCTCACCACCCAGGGAGTTCTGCAGTGCCTGGTAGAAGGCGGTTTTGCTGCTGGTCCTCCCTTGACTCTCCTCAAATTGCTAAAAAAAAATAAAAATAAACAGACAGGGTGTCTAGTAGGTGTAGTTCAAACCCTTGGCCTAGAACCTTCTCTCAGGGAGGTGAAGGGAGAAGTGGATGGGTGTTGGGAGCAGAAACCCAGCTCTACCTGCTGTAGCTGTGTAGCCTAGACCAAGCTGCTTACTCCTCTCTGCCTTAGCTGCCTCATCTGAACAATGGGCTCAATGGGAGTGGCTTCCGTTTTAACAGGGCCACTAAAAACCAACTCGACAGCACTTAACAACAACTGAACACCAGGACCAATTGCTGTCAAATCACTTTGTAGTAGAACTGTGTTTCATAGAGTCGTCAATAGCTGATTTTTCAGAAGTGGAGTGCCAAGCCTTTCTTCCAAAGCATTCCTGGGTGGACTTGAACTACAAACCTCCTAGTTAGCAGTTACCAATCAGTGTTTTCACCACAAAAGAAATCCACAGCGTTATTGGTTAGTGTAAGGACAAAAAAAAAAAAAAAAAAAAAAAAAAAAAAGCCCTAATGCATTCAATTATTTAACAGGGTGCCAAGAGCTTAATAAGCTCAACAAACATTAGCTCGTACCAGGTCCCACCCACGCTTGTCCCGTCCTCTACATGGGCTGCTATCTCAGCTGGCTTATGGGTAGCCAGGAGCTGGCTTCATTCTCAACATACGACTGTTTTATGTGCACTTCGGTACTGAGACCAAGTACATGCCAGGCCTGGGAAACAGCAGCAGCCACTGGACCACGCCCCCTAGTCTTTGGGGCTGAAGGTCTAGTGGGCTGAGATGGGGAATGACCACAGGCTGCACAGGTCATTAGGGCAGGTGCTGTGAAGATGTGGGATGTTCAGGGATGGCACACAGCAACAACATATATCTTTCACTCACCCACTCATTGGTTCATTCTAGTCCTGACTTTGCCATCACTAGCATGGAGTCTGGGTGGGCCATTCGCCTCCCCCAGGACTCAGCATCTTCATCTCTGAAGACACGGACCAGCAGAGAAGGATACCAGGCTCCAGGGCCCTTGTACAGTTGGTGCTGTGTGTTTACATATTTCTACAAACTCTTGTAAACAGGGAAACATACTCATCCACACACACCCTGAAATGTTCCAGTTGTTTCTCTAAACATGTCCAAGCACGCAGCATCTTCAAGTAGAATTTAGTAAGTGACCCCCACACCACCGCCAGGGGGAAGGACTCTTAAAATGTCTTTCCACTGCTCCTGGGGCTTCTGGGGGCTGACTCCCAGCCTGCCCTAATGAGAGGTGAGTGGGCCACACTGGGGAGTAGATGATCCAAGGCAGAGCCAGGGGCAGCTGCATATCAGCTTCATGGGTGCCTAGGCTGGATCCAGACACAGTGTTTACACTACCCAAAATGCTTTCTCGGGAAGAAGTCTGAAGCACTATGTTGTTGTCGTTACATGCCCTCGAGTCGGTTCTGACTCATAGTGACCGGTATAGGGTTTTAAAGGAGGAGCTGGTGGGTTTGAACTGCAAGCCTGTGGCTCAAACTGACCTTGTGCTTATTCTACAGTGCCATGCACAATAATAATAACTGTTAAATCTGAATATTGAAGACACAAATATTCATTAGATTGGTGACTTGCAGATATTTTTACCTGCAGTCTGCAATAAGATATCTTACACAAGCCCTTGTGCACACACACACACACACACACACACACACACACACACACACGCCATGATGCAATGCCCATTTTAACCAGAGATAATGCATCCTATAGTTTCCATTTCTAGTCTCTCCTAGTCTGGTCTTTTAAAAATGCTTGCCTATAATCTAGTATGTGGATTTTGTAACCGACAACTGAGCCAGTATCCAAACTATGGGGCAAAAACTGCATTACATTACTGTTATTTTCTGAGGGTTGTAATATTTCATAACAACAACAAAATGATAGCAGCAGCCATTGGCACACCTCCTATCATTGCCAAGTTTTCTTCTGCTAAACACGTTATACCTGAGCCTCATTGAAGTATCAAAACAAGCATGTGAACGGGGCATTAGATGAGTCCATTTTAATAACCTTTATTCTAAGGCTCAGAGACTCTAAATGGCTTCTTTGGGCCAGTCGGATCGGGGCATGAGCCCAGGTCTCACTGGAGGAAATGTCCAAACCTTTCCCCCTGTCTATAACTATAACCTTGTATAAGGGTCGTAGACCACAGGGACCTGCCTGCTGGGTCCTCAGTGCAGAAGATAAGAAGAACAATGTGTGTACAGAGTCAAAGTTTAGGGTTCACGTCCTAACTGCAAAATTTGAGGGGTCTTTAGAGAAGACACAAAGATCTACTGGTACAGTGGGTAAATAAAGTATTGGGCTGCAAAGTCAGTGGTTCTAATCACCACTGCTCCCTTCTTCCATCTAAGCAGTTCCGTTTTTGTCAAGTGCTGTCGAATCGGTTCTGACCCAGAGCAACCCTGCCTAAGGTTTCCGAGGAATGACTAGTGACTTTGACGCACCCACCTTGTGGTTCAATTCTACCTTATGACCCAATACTTATCCTACAACACCACCCAGGACTCCATAAGCAATTTGACTCCGTGGGATACAGGGTCTTTATGCATCGGAATTGACCTGAAGACAGTAGGTCTTGAATTCAGAAAACACAATTCACCGTCTCTGAGACTTCTAGCTTTAAAATGGAAGTGATAGTATTGATACAGGCCCCCTTTGAACTCTCCTGAGAGGATGAAGTGACCAAAGCGGTGTGAAAAGGCTTTGTCCTTTACAAGATGTACTGCCAGTTCTGGCTAGTGTTTCAGGGACACCATGGCACTGGCTGAAAGTAGTGCAAGGAGACTCCAGCTAGAGCCAGGTTTGGATCAGGGCTCCTCCACTTCTCAGCTGTGTGTCTTTGGACAAGTCACTCACCCTCTCTGACCCTCAGGAGTCTCACATTCAAATCTCCAGTGCTGTTCTGAGAATGACAAACGATGTTTCGGAGCAATTAGCTCAAAGTCAGGTATGTAGGGTTTCTGAGGAGTGGCTGGTGGGTTTGAACCACTGACCTTGGGGTTAGCTGTTCAGTGCTTTTCCTACAATGCCACACCAAAACCTGGGTTTGGCATATGTACTACTGAATAAACCAGAATCATTTTCATGAACCGTGGGTTTCCTTGGAATCAATTAGAAAACTGTTGAACACAGGCTCCAAACCACTTTGTTCAAATGAGAAAAACACTCCAAGATGGCTGTGCAGCGATCTGCATGAAAGGAGCTGCCTCTTGCTTATTTTTATCCTCATTTCTTCATGTGACAAATAAGGACGTTTTTACAGAACTGTGAATGAATACAACTATTGACTATTTGGAGGGGGGGGTTGTCCAAATACATGTGGTCCCTGTAAGATCCATCTAAGCCAGAGGTAGGGGCCTTGATGTGGGGTGAAGGCAAGATGAGAAGAGGCTGAAGGAGTGAAATTCTAAGGTGTATTCTGCACGGGGGTATCTTATGAAGGAACTTGTCATTCTTGAGCCCAGGCACTGACTGGGTCTAAAATCCAGGGCAGAGCAGAAGTGGAGGGGTACAGTACAAGGACCAGGGTGAGGGCCAGTGGCAATGACGTGAGTCTCCTTGGGCCACTTGGCCTTTTGGGAGGTATCCCATTGCTATTCAAGTTGATTCCAACTCATAGCGACTGGACAGGACAGAAAAGAAGTACCCCACGGGGTTTTCAAAGTTAATCTTTGCAGAAGCAAACAGCATCATCTTGTCTCCCATAGAGCAGCTGGTGGATCACCAGCCGAGCACTTAAACACTGCGTCTCCAGGGCTCTCTTGGGAGGCAGACTCCTTCCTCAGGTCCTCACATGAGGTGTTCACTGTGGGCCAGGTTCCAGCACCAGCTGTACCCACAATTTGCTACTATGCACACACAGGGAGGTGGCGGACAATCCAGGCATGGCCTCAGACCAGGTGGCCTTTTGTTCCACTATGACTTGGAGGCCAAGTTGGCAGCAAATGACAACATTGTCCCCTGTGATGAGAGGTGCCATAGGAGACCAAAAGGACAGCATTTGTCCAGGGGCAGAATTCAGAAGACAAGAGGGTTGGGAAGGAAGGTGGACTGGAAATGGGAAAACATGGCAGGTGGAGGTGGAGGGTTGTTGACTGAGAAGCTAAGCTGCCTTGCAAACTTCCCCCAGATCACAATACAAAGTTGAAACAACAACAACACAAAACAGTGCTCCTGGAGAGTACTTGCCAGGATTTACTTAAAGGCCCCGAGTGGTGGGTAGGGGTTCTGTGTGGCACTGTAGGAAAAGCACTGCAAGGTCAGCCGTTCAAACCCACCAGCCTCTCCTCAGAATCCCTATATAGGGTTGCTATGAGCTGGAACAACTCGACATCACACAACAATGGGGACAGTGGTGGGTAGATGCTGACTGAGGAATGTCCCCAGGGTCCTGAGCTCTGTTTCCATGTGTCACCATTGTCAGTGACTGTGTGTACCAGAACCACCATGGAGCAGGGGTCAGGGGTCCCTACTAAGTATGATGCCAACCCCTGGGAAGGTGTTCAGTAAATATGTGTTGGATGAACACATATAGGAAGCTCTGCCTTGGTAGAGATAGTACCAGCTCTAAAGCCAAACTTCTTGGGTTCAAATCCTGGAGTTGGAAAGATCTGGGCTTAGAGTCTAGCTTTGCCGCTTATTAGCTGTGTGTCCTCGGGCAAGTGACTTAATCTCTCTGTGCCTTGGTCTCTTCATCTGTAAAATGGGTGTGCAATAGTATTACCACCTTCATACAACTGCCATGAGGGCTCACTGAGATTACGCCTATAAAGTGTTAAGCACCAGGTCTGTCATCACTGCTATTGGATATTTGCAGATTCAACCTTATGTTAAGTTTAAGTGGTCTAAGTGGGTTCACGGTTTAGAAACTGGCCAGAATAGGGCTTGCTTCACTGGCTATTGGTCCAAAGACATGTGGAGAGTGACTGACCCACCATAAAGGTCCAGTCACATGTTC